TCACTCAGGTTTGATTCACTCTTATTTCAGTAGCATCTGAATGAACAGAGACACATTTATTTGGTTGGTGATTAATAGCGTTGCTGATAGCCATAGCCCAAATTACTAAATTGGTGAAAGACAACTGAATTTATAACAGCCCGATTCAGAAGTCCAACCTTTTAAGTAAAAGGCTAAAACCCTGATCAGTAAGAGAATTACAGTTGTAATCACTCAACTGATAATAATTGATTAGTTTTACCCTTGATTTGAATGACAAATTAACAAAACTTCCAGTTCTAATTACTTAAAGCTACAGTGTGTAATAATTACAGGGATATACAGTCAGAAATGTAATATATTATACATAACTATGTTATTTATCATCATCTACGAGCTCAACCTCTTAACCTTAATATTTGCGTTGCCTTAGAATTCGTTATTTATAATTACATAGGAGCGGGTCTCGCAGCCATGGAGGCAGACATCTTTGCGCTACGGCAGCGCAGAGCCAACAAACTAGTGATTGAGAGATCGCCCATTATGCTCCAAAGTAACTACGGCAAGTTGAGAGAGATGAACTGAGACAGTACTGAAATCTATACCCTACACAGACTAATGAAATACTATCTGTAAAATTATCTATGTAAACAAACCTCATCACTTGAGAAGGTAGGTGATGCAGACGTCGTGGAAGACATTTTGTCCCGTAACGCTCGCCGTACTGTTGGGGGGGAGAAGCGGTGGGGGGGAGATGTTCATGTTGCTGCGGTCTGCATTCTGGACGTTAGATGTCGCTGAAAATTACACACTGTAAATTTAATATATTCATAATATCCTGATGAACTTTCACAACAAGTGTGAGCAGGTAGATCGCATCAGAGCATCGGGTTGCACAATGTGAGAACGTATCGTGAGCTGTGAACTTCTAAACCCTTAGGTTTCATCTTACAGTTTGAGGTATAGCTATATGCAGCGATTGAAAAAAATTGTACAGTGTATCCCTGACTTCAGGAAGTATTCCCTCTGATTTGCGCCTACACTTTAGATGTGATTAATCCAGGGCCTTATCTACCATTAAGGACACCGAGGTCATATCCTCTGTATTTTTATTTATTTATATTTTGCCTAAATTGTGATATATAAACTAAAAATAAATTCCACTGAAACTGAGTGTAGAATGAGTATCTAGGTCAGAAGATGTGGTGCCAGAGACTCCGTCATGGGAGGATAAGCCTCTACACGGGATGTACCACCGATAATCGAAGTAGCAGATATTCAAAAAAAGGCTGAAACAAGTCAACGTATAGTATGACCTTAAAAATAGTCCAATAAGACTCAAAGTATAGTAAGACCTCAAAAAATATGCCAGAACAAGTCATATTATGGTATGACCTAAATAATTTGTTAAAACAACTCAAAGTATGTCCTCAAAAATACGCTAAAAAGAGTCAAAGTATAGTATGGCCATAAAACTGCGCTAAAAACACACATACTGGAGTATGACCTCAACAATAGTCCAAAAAGACTCAAAAATATGCCTAAACGAGTCATACTTAGTAAGAACAAAATATTGGCTAACGCGAGTCATAGTATACAATGACCAAAAAATTGGCCAAAATGACTCATAATATAGTATGTTGTGCCATATGCCATGATCATGGTCTTTTGACATTGGGAACCAGTGTCCATATTTCACTTGACATGATGATGTGGAATCAGCTGTGGAATCTCTGCAACCCACTCTCTGTTCAGCAAGTCACGTGGAAGTGAGACCAACCACCCCCCCTCTGTGTGAGGACAGACAAAATCACAGAGCACACAAAATTCTTTCTCTCTTTAGCTCCTGTGCTCTTTGCCACCTCTACCTTGCAGATGAAGCTAGGGTCCAGACCCAGATCTCCAGAATCCTCAAGGATAAGTCAGAACCTATCAGAACCAAACTGCTACAAAAGAGAACTTTCACAACACATTTCTCTTGAGTTTCGGAACTTATAGAGCCACACTGAAGAGAAAGACTGCCTTGATGAACGACTGAGAATCATACCCCATTTACACTACCCTTGAAAAACCAATCCATGCCGAGACCAGTCCAAGCTTGGATCAGTTAACCAGGCCGAGCTTGGTTCTGACATCTGTTTACTCATCACGCTATCTCGCTTTCTCGACTCTTCGCCTCCTAGTGACAATCTGCGGTATTACTGCCAGTATTGAAGTAGGAAATCAAGCAGTTGGTGGCAGTAATGCACCAAAAGTTGTTTGCCAACCGCCCTAAAACACAAGAAGAAGACGAAGGAGGGAGGGAATCAAGCAAATCAAAATGGCGGCGCCTGTCACATTCGGAAAGTTATGCTTGATTATTATTGTTGTACTTTGGTGTTTGCGGAGGGTCAGGCAAAGACGGCAACCTTTTGTGGATGTTTATAGTTGATTATAGTTGTTCTTCTTCTGTTTTGTGTTGGTTGGCAAGCAACTTCTGGAGCGGCATTACCGCCAACTACTGGAATAGAGTGTGAATCGGGATGTGCAGCCAGACGGAGATTATGCATTCTGGGCATGTGTTCTTGTTAGAAAGAGAACAGAGCCAGGGAAAAACCGAGCCGAGCCCATCTCTGGAACTGGTCTGCAGTTAGCTCGGGTCGGTTGTGTCTAGCTCGGTTCAGTTCAGTTTGCTTTCCATTTATACACGATAAGTTATCTCAGTTACCGGTCTCGCGCGGTTTTTCAAGGGTAGTGTAAATGATGTAAAATAACCCCTGCTGTGTGTCTCTGAGACAAAAACCCCTGGTTGACTGCTGAGCTGCAGCTGGATGAAACTTAACCTTTCCAATGGACATGGAACAAAGGGTTTGCACGTCTGGCATGATTAGGGACAGAACAAATAATATTTCTTTTGATGATGTTAATCATATTACGTGTTTATTGCTGAGTAAAGACAACACTAATTGACGTTAAAGAATGGACTGCATGCTACGCTATGCTACAGGAATATGTATTGAGCTGTTGCTGAAGCTTGGACAAACTTTATTTACTAAGGGTCTAAACAATGATATAACATTAGTGTTCATGTGTTTCTCAGATGCTCATTGCATTTACATTACCAAGTATGACCAAGAGTCATTTATTAGAATCCCGATGTCTATTCACTGCTAGCTATTTCAAAGAGGGTAAAGATTAATTTGACTAAAGGTTATTTGTTCTTGATTAAGCAAATCATTTAATAAAACATTATTTGGCCAAATAATGTTTTATTCACCTCATGGCTTTGCATTGTGAACCGATCTGAAAAGATTCCAATTTCTTTGAATTAGTGAAAAGCTAATTTGGTCTTATCCCAAATTCATCAAGATAAACTTTGTTTTCCTACACACATCTGACCTTAAACTCTTATATGGTTTTCAACCATGTTTCCCCTTCCTCTTTGTACATAGTTGTTTTGTTTAGTTTAGTTTCACTAGTCTTAGTTGAGAGCGTTAAACTGAAATATGTTTGACTTGGAGCTGAATGACTTTTGTTAATAAACTCTTATATTTTGAACAGAAGTTGTGGTGAATTTATTCCATGTATGAGCAGAATTAACTGTTTGACCATGATAAGAGCTTGAATCACTCTTTCGTCTATTTTTTTAACACACAGCTAGTAGGGTTGTGTGTCATAAACAGTATATTATAGCCGAAATAATATCTGTATAAATAAGATATTTTACCAACCCCACCAGGGAGAGCAATGTACAGCTAAAAGTATCAGAAATATAAATTCCCAGCTGCCTGGGAGAATAATTGGTCATAAAATCACAACAAGTAGGACCTAAATAATTGGACAAAATGAGTCATAGTATAGTATGACCTGAAAAATGGTCCAAAATGAGTCATAGTATAGTATTACCTAAAGAATTGGCTAAAACGAGTCAAAGTATAGTATGACCTGAAAAATATTCCAGAACGAGTCATAATGTAGTATGAGCTAAATAATTGAATAAAATGAGACATAAAGTATGACCTCAAAGATTGGCTTAAACAAGTCATAGTATAGAATGACCTCAAATATTGTCAAAAACATGTCATATTTTGTATGACCTAAATAATTGGTTAAGAAGAAGAAGAAGTATAGTATTACCTAAATATTAGTCCAAAATGAGTCATAGTATACTATGACCGCAAAACAGGTCATAGCATTGAATGTCCAAGAGAATGTGGATAAAATGAGTCATAGTGAAATATGATGTTAAAATTAGCCTCAAATTTGTCATAGTACAGTATTACCTCAAACATTTGCTGAAACGAGTCAGTATAGTATGACCTCAAAAATAGTCCAAAAAGAGTCATAGGATAGTAACACCTAAATAATTGGCTAAAATGAGTCATTGTATAGTATTGCCTAAATAATTGGGTAAAACGAATCGTAGTATAGTATTAACTCAAAAATAGTCCAAAACGAGTCGTAGTATAGTATGACCTTAAAAGTAGTATGATGTCAGAAATAGTCTAGAATGAGTGATAGTATTGTATGAAGTCAGAAACAGGCTAAAATTAGTCATAATATAGTATGATGTCAGAAATAGGCTAGAATGAGTGATAGTATTGTATGAAGTCAGAAACAGGCTAAAATTAGTCATAATATAGTATGATGTCAGAAATAGGCTAAAAAGAGTCATAGTATTGTATGAAGTCAGAAACAGGCTAAAATTAGTCANATATCAAAAAAGTACTCCAGAGTGTTGTTCAGCATGGGGGTGAGTAGAAAATGAAGGCTAATCATGTTTTGGGTGTACTATTCCTTTAATGGGTTGGTGGCTTTTCAGGGCAGTTGGTTACCTTAGATTTTAGGGAGTCATATTGAAGAGGGTTAAATTGAAATGCACACTACATTTTATACTGTTGTTTGTAAAACAATGTTTTTAAAAAATTCCTTTTCCTTCCACTTTAAAATGATTCCCTGTTTGGTGTTAATCACATACATTTCTAGGGAAATACATTGAAGCTCATTGTTTAATTTCACACAATGTAAAAACTGTATTAAACATGAATTCTCCTTTTAATGTGTGTATTTCTTTCCTTCTATTATTCCTGCTCTCTCGCTATAGGAAAACCTTTCCATCCCAGCATGCAACGCTCTCTGGCTTCGCCGCTGTATATATCTCTGTAAGCACATCTTTTGCTTCAATTTACTGTAATGGTTTTTAAATGATGTGTCTGTAGATATTTTCCTTCTACCCCTGGGAAAAATAACAACATAAACATGTATTTTTGTAAAATCCATACTGATACATTACAATTCCCAGAGTCACTGCATGAGTTAAGTCGCACTTTTTTCTACTCTGCTCAGCCATTTCTAAACATAAGATATCTTCACAAGTGTGAGCTTTATTTTATTCTGTCAATGCTTCTGCTCATTTAGAACTAAGTAAAAAGAGTGGAAGTCTATTAAAATAACACAAAACATAATAAGAGATTAACTGATGAAAAATGTTATGCCAAATTACTGATCATGGATTTTGTAAAGCAGTGACTTGCCAAGAGCAATAAATGATAGCAGTGTAATTTTTCTTACTTGATGAATAAAGTAAAGATTAAATTGGCTTTAGAATATTTTATTGGAAATTAAAGTACTGGTTTTATATATAGTATCTCAGAGATAAATAGCTGCCTCTCTGTAAAAATCACTGCAGAGGCAAATGATGCTCAAATAAAAGTAATTACGGCAATTAAAGCCTTCACTCTCTTGTTTTATTTTTCATACACACCTCAATGTATTGATGTGTGAAATATTTGATTAAGATTTTGAAATGTTTTCTGACAGATTACCTTTAAAATATATGATATATGGCAAAAAAAGGCCAAAAAAATTAAAATTTGCTGTTTGGTCTTTGACAGTTAAAAATGTCACAAACCGGCATTTTGTCATGAGCGACCTCTGAGTATTTATATAAGCAACCAAG